AAAAAAAAAAAAAAAAAAAAAAAAAAAAAAAAAAAAAAAAAAAAGTTTCATTACAAATATTTCTTGAAAATCTAAAGCAAAAGCAGACCCCTCCAAAATGTCTAAAAAGGAAGATGATATTTTCAGTTCCAAAATAAGCAACTAAACCCCAAACCCACAAATACGATCTTATTGGATGAATTTGTAGAAGAGAGTAACACTGGCAATAAAAGGGGTGGAAACTAGTTGGGAATTGTGTTTGTCTCTTCCACTTGGAGTGGCTTATGTAATCTATTTATAATTTTTTTGATTTGTTGTAGGCTTTCTCCACGCACTTCTATTCAAATTTTTTGCTTACTGAAAACCAATAAATAATTCAGGCCTTCAAAGGCTACGAAAAACTGAGTTTACTCGGGCCTGATCATGCAATATCATAAATAGAGGGAAATTTCTGCACTCTTTTGCAATTGAAGCTCAAGAGACATATAACTAATTCACTCCTAAAACTCCTTTCAGAAAACCAGATTGTTTTGGCTTTAATCTTGGTCAAAAAGAAGTTGATCTTTTCATAAAACTAAATAATAAATAAAAAGGAGACCTAATGTACGTTCAATTCACACAGACCAAATACCTCCCATGCTCAGCAAGGAAGATTTGTTTAAATGCCTATATGGTAATTCACTTCTCACCCGCAAGTTGCAAGCTTGATGGAAGTTCGTATTTGGATCAATGAGATTGCTCAAAATCCTCCAGACATTGGCATCTTTCAATTGATCAAGAATCTGAAAATTTTCCTCAGATTTTGCAGGATCAGCAAATGACCGAGCCATTATTCGAAAGCCAAACAGTATTTTCTTCTGGGTCTCAGGAGCATCACCATCCTGCATCTTAAACCAATCAAAATCTCCAACTCTGCCCATTATTAGTAAATAAACTTCCATACATGGAATATTCACAAACCTGGTTCATCTGCCTAAGAGACAGGTACCTCTGCATCTCTAGCTGCAACCTGGAAAATCCAAGTGGACCCACAATGAAAGTAGTGTGCATCAGTTATTTACTTATTGTAGGATTGGGAGGTTTGTAAAAATTCACTTGCGGCCCATTTGGTTCGCTAATACTATATTTGGGTATGGATATTAAATATATTGGAGTTAAAAACCTAGGATATAAATGTGTAGGATAAAAAAACATTTGAGTTTGAATGTGCAAGATAATTAATATATGGTTTTACTTATGGAAAAAGTAATTTAAATTATTAAATTTAATTAAAAAAATATTTGTATTAGATGAATAATAAAATAAAGAAATTAAAATTAATTCACACATTAACTAGAAAATAATAATGAGTAATTTCTTTCTCCACTCTCCTACTCATTTCCCAAGGAAAAAAGTTTCATCTCCAAGAAGGATTATAAAATTTCATTTTTATCCTTGGATAACAACTATCTAGATTTTAAAAGTAAATATCTACAAAACAAAGATTGTTATATCCTTCCCAAAACCAATCTCAAGCCCTGTGACACAGACACAGCCTCAAGGTTCTTGGTCTAATAAATGCATACCTTTGTTTTTGCTCCAGAATCTTCTCGAGAGCCTTGAGTTCAACTTTGTCAAATGTGGAGAAAACTCTGAGCAAATGTTTAACTCTATCCTTCACTGGAAACTCAAATGGGAAAAATGACTCACAAAGAGTGGATTCAATCACATCAGATCTGCAAATCAAAATCTAAAAATCAATAACCCGAGATCAAGCTCATCCATTCACTCACGCAACACAAAATCAAGAAAAGAATGGCAATCCAATGCATAGAAGAATGATAGAAATGCAATGCTTACAGCATCAATGGCTAAAAGTTACAACAGAATACTATCTACAATAAAGCAGCTAGCAGTTCCTTCAAACCACTATAAAACGAACTTTACAGCAAGAGCTTGAAGCATGCAACGAAGAAAAAAAAAATCAATCAATCTCTTTCCTTCAATGGATCAAGTACTAACTCAGCATTATATCAGCATGTTTGGTCTGGCTCTGGTCGTTTCCCCAAGAGGGTAAAACTCTTCATATGAGACCTCAGGCACTCATGCATAAACCCTTTTGCAAGCTCCAAAACAGGTCTCCTTGGCCGTATTTATCCCCAAGTTGCTATCCAATGTGCTATTCCAATGAAGAAACACAGATTCAACTTTGTAAGTTCTAGAATTTGTTGCAAGGAGCCTTTAGATGGGAATTCCCAAGACGAATGATACTCTATCATTTATCTCTCTCTTGCTAAGGTGATGCTTTTAAAAAGGATAAAAAGATCATTTGGCTTTGTCATGTTCATGCCTTCTTTTGGAATCTTTAGTTGGAGCGTAATGCCCAAATCTTCATGGATAAGAATTGTGATATCAGCTTTCATTGAATCTACTTCTCTTTTAGCTATTACTTGGAACAACTTGTCTCCTGGGGGGATCTAGGTAGCAGCAACATAAATCAGAGGAAAAAAGCTCTTTTTGTTTACAATAAACTTCTTAAGAAACTTCTTATTGATGAATGAAAAGGAAATGTTCAAGGGACTCAAACTCATAAAAGTGAGGGAAAACAAAGAAAGAAAAAGAAAAATCAAGAAACTTGGGCACGGTGGTTCATGCAAAGTACTATTCTTCATCCCCTGATCATATTTGGACGTTCCCTTCTGATAAAATTTCACCCAAAACTCCTTGGCTTTACATCTCTAAGCTGAGCAGAAGCATTTGTGAGAGGGTTAAAAAGAAAAATGGCAATTGTAAGAAAACAACCTTCCGGACTCATCATTGGAATAAGTCAGCCTCTAGCATCACCTTCAGCCCAAAATTTTCAAGTTTCCAACAGAACAAATAAAACCCTCTCAAAGTTTGGAATACATCCTTAATTGGGTCTGTATTTTCAGAGAAACCTACAAGATTTAATCTTTAAATTGTGCCCTAATTAACAGCCATGATTTCAAGTAGGATCCTTTATTTAACAGCAGTTGAGGTGGCATATATCCCAAAGAGATCATTTTCTCCCCTTGAGGGCTTACCCATGGGGGAAGTTGAGGTGGCATATATCCCAAAGAGATCGTTTTTCCCCCTTGAGGGCTTACCCATGGGGGTTACCAGCACAGGGGACCTCCAAAACAGAATTTCTTCTCATTCTTATGCAAAATGAATACAGAATACCAAATTCATCTTTCTATAACCTGCTCCTTCGTTTATAACTTCTGGACTTGATACTGGAAGTTTGTGGGTGGCAAATGGCTCCATGAAATTATGTAAGGATCTTTGATCCCGCTCCATTCACAATTATGAAAGCAAAGCTTTTTTTATCACAGCTTGAAACTTCTGTTTCTCAATTTATTTCAATCCTGTACTTCACACACTTTTGGTTTCCTTAGCATCACAAGACTTGCGCCACTCTTTGTGGCTATTGACACTTATAAAAACATGTCATCCTGAGATTCTCAAAGAAAGTAATTCAGCGTACCGTTCAAAAATAATATCTATATTATTTTTTAATACAAACTCCCAAAGGAAGCAAATAAATGAATGAATAAATAAAAACATTAACAAACTAAATTGGGAATATGAAGGGCATCCCAATTTTAACAAATTGGAAAATGAACAATAGTGCTAGAATAAACTACCACACATTCCTGGAAAATAAAAAGACATATTACAAGCTACTTGCATCTTAAGTTGTAAGACAAATAAACTTCACTGACCTGAAATCCTTGTCATAGTAGCATCTCAAAATCCTCCCAGGAATCCAGGTGGAATTGTCCGGATTGGTTGGTTCAGCGGAAGATTTCACAGAATAGACCTTGTATATCTCAGCTAGCCTCTCCATTGTATATCTTTTAACGAGTAGCTGCATGTTTAGAGAATAGGAAGAAAGAATTGAATTCATCTTGAATAATCATGATAGTCACAACAGAAGTTTTAACAGCAATAATGATCATAGAAGATGGATGCTTACAGATTTATCTCGAAGCCGTTCAGCAACAAGCTTTATAGTATCGAGTGGAATTGCATTTAAGGAAAGGCATGTCATATCGCAAATTACAGCAACAACTTGTTTTCGGACATTTTCATCAAAGTCCAATAGCCTGTCAGAAAGAGCAGCTACAAAGGCCAAATCAAAAACGAAATCAGCCAACATTACCAACTGATACACCACTCATCAACACACAAGCATAAGCGTATGGGTTACAGTAAATTTAAGTATATCAATACTTTAACACTCCCCTCATTCGTGGGCTTGAAAACTTGTAGAAGGCTTGATAAGTGAGAATCAATATTAATTGGAAAGGAATGATATTACAGGTTTTTGTTTTTTATAAGAAACCTAACAACGTATTTCTATCGAAAAAGGAGACATCCTAAAGGCAAGGACAAGAAGAATCCCCTCCCAAAGCAGCTACTGATGGGAGTTTGAAGATAGGACCTCCTACTTCAATACCATGTTAAATCACCCATCTCCAAAAACTTAAGATAATGGGTTAAAATAAAGTTCATTATATCAAAACTCACCAATGTTAAAGTTGCAAAATAGTAGAATCTTTTTTATTAGTTCCGCAATATGCTGAGCAGGGGATTCAAAGCTCTGTCCTCTTGGTCAAGAGTACATGTTTGATATCAAATGAGCTGACATTTATATTGGCCAAAATAGTGGAATGTTTATATCTTCCTAAGGTCTTCAAACACTAACATGTTTTATAGTTATCCATCTTTTGTATTCATCAGGACCAACAAAAAGCTCCCTTATGACCTTTGTCCTTTTGTTGGGTAAGAAACTTTTCATCTAGGTTTACAACGAACTAAAATTCTACATGAATATAAAGCTTTTATCGACTCACCAATCCCCCCCCCCCCCCCC